CCAGACACCTGCTGGCTTGCAGGCATCTCTCCCGGGAGGGATGGACACACCTGTATATTTCACAGGGCCTCTTGTAAGGGTAGTTGATGTCTTTCAGGTTCTCAGGGGCGACGTAAGCCAGCATAGGGACTTGTTTCCAGTCCCTCCGGGATTTCCTCTTGATGGACGACTCTGTTTCGCAAAGCTCAAACCCCGACAGCTGATTGACAGAAAGGAAAAGCGGTAGAAACATTGCCTGCAGAAACCTGTGGCAGGGCTGGGGATGGGCCCCAAGATGGAGAAAGCAGAGCGAGGTGACCTGGGCAGCAAAGGCTGGCTCAGAGCCACGCGTGCCACCCAGCAGGTGGCTCTTGCTGCAAGCAAAGCCACAGGAGGAGGCAGCAGGTGAGTTGTCCTAGCTTCAGCTCATCCCAGGGTGGACGGCTCAGAAACGCTCGCTTTGCTGATGATAAACTGAGGTATGAGCATCTAAGGTGAGAGCGGAGATGGCTCTACTCCAGGTTTTATTCTGGACCATCATAATTCCCTTCAGTGTCAGTGCAGGGAGACATCCACCAAAACCCATGCACAACTCCCCAGAGCTTCTCCAAGCATGGTCCTTACCTTCACACAGTAATCCCCGGCCACCAGGAACTTGCTGCTACAGATGCAGCCGTGGAGACGGGATTTCTCCTCTGTCTGGTGCAACCTGCAGCCGGACAGAAGCAAAGGCAACACACGTTGGTGACAGACCCATCCCCAACTCCAGGCTCCGGGGATGGGCTGACATCCACCCAGAGAAGCGAGCAGCTCTCTGCCTGTCTTGGTGGTCCAGCCTCGCCAAGCCAACCTTTCCAGCAGTGGCTCAGAGAACCACCATGGGCAAAACAACAAGCCCTGAGGATGAGCAGCACCCTTAAAGAGAAGTGGCCGGGCTGTAAGGGTCCTCCTGAAGCTGGCCTGTGGGCGCGGGGAAGGGGGTTTCTCCTTTCCAGGTTTTTGCAGGCTTGAAGCCACACGCAGGGGCCAGCGACCAGGGGAGACGGGTGCTACCACATCCAAGCCCACCACCTACCTCTTCGCTAGCCTCCCGTCCCACCACCCAAGCTGGTGGAAGCAGCATTTAACGGGATGCCACTGCTGATTGAGAGGTACCAGGAAGCCAAGCACGGCTTTTGCGGGAGGACTCACTCCCCAGTTTAGGCAGGAGCTCACCTGTACAGGCCCCTGGCAGCTCCCAGGGCCATCCGGATGCGGATGTCCCAGCTGAGATGTCGTTGGTTGGTCAGCACATCCCGCAGTGTCCCGTGCTTGCAGTACTCCATGACGATGGAGAAGCAGGGGCTCCCATCTGCACAGCAAAAACCATGAGCACCCTGCCAGCTAGCACTGGGGACGTGCAGGGGAGGCAAAGGGGGACATTCATGTGACACCCCCTACCTGTCTCCTCAATGCAGATCCCGTACATGCGTAGGATGTTCGGAGACTCAAACTTCTTCAGGGTCTGAATCTCCTTCTCAAAGATGTCTCTCACCTTCCTGCAGAAAGGGAAAGCATGTGAGCACCCCGGCCACGAGCCGTGCCGTGGCGCCGTGCCACCCTCCCACCCTGGCTGCCCCGTGTCCCTCCCACCCGGGACGACTCACACAGGGTCGGTGGTCAGCGGCCTCTTGAAGGTTTTGATGGCGACGGGGTACTTCTGGTACTCGCCCTCGTAGAGGTTGTACCTCTCGGTGTCCTGCAGCTGCTTGTAGAAGGTGAGCTGGTCCCGCTCGATTTCGGTGATGTCTGCTCTTTTACCGACGTTGACTTTCTTCAAGCCTGCGCCCGTCACGGGAACAAGGGACGCGTTAGGCAGGGCTCAGGGATGGAAGGGACACAGCGTGAGGGGCGCCCGGAGGTGTGGCGCCGACTTACGGTCCATCACGCGAACGATTTTGTTCAGCTCTCGCTGCATCCAGTCTACTTGGCTCTCCATGCCCTGCCTGTCCTTGTAGATCTCCCAATCCTTGTCTTCAGGCTCCTCAGTACCTGGGGAGACAAATGCGCAGCTGTGGGGCCGATGGACAGCAATGCAGTTAGTTTTTCACGTGGTTTAACTGTCCCTTTGTCCCTCCTTGGCTGTGGCCATCAAGCCAAAGCTGGGCAGCAGCTTCGGAGAGACGCCAAGCACCGGTAGGGTTTGCTAAACGCACACTTACTTGCCATCACTTGGTCCAAGAAAGCCCTGTCATCCTTCAGGTCCTCGGCATCCTGCCTGCAACGTGTCTTTTCCTGGAAAGCCTCCAGGAAAGCCTGCTTCTGCTCCACCTGCAGCAGGAGGGAGAGCCCCTGGGCGATGTCCCCCAGGCTCTTGTTCACCCAGACAAACTCCTCGCTGGTGCTGTGGGCTCTCAGGAACTTCTGGATCCAGCTCGTCTGGCTGTATTTCATCACTAGTTTCTGGGCTTCCCCCAGCACCCAGAGCAGCTTCTTCAGCAGTTCCTCTTCGTGGTAGGAGATATGCTTTCGGGGCTGAGCCTTGAGGATCCTCACGGGTGCCAGCAGGATCTGGATGCGCTCCACGAGGCGCTGGCACTGGTGCTTGCAGCACTTCACCTGCTCGAATTGGGTGTAGATGAGCTGGGCCAAGGAGAGGACTTTGTCCAGGACATCCATGCTTGCAGCAAAGAGCTTTGGCCAACTGAGGACGTGGGCTGGCCGCGTCTGGTGGGGATGAGCCTCGGGGACCGCTTGGAGATCAGCCGGATGCAGCTTTTCCACTCTAAAGAACAGCCATACACGTGGCCCACCACCCTCTGAAGGAAAAAAAGAAGAAAAAAAAATAAAATAAAACCCATGGGAAAAAAGAGAAGGTCTCCTACAGCCCTTCCTGTATCCTACCCCTGCTTTGCCTTCTCTGCTTCGCCCGGCACCGTGGCCGTTCGTGCGGACCGGAGCAAACACAAGCAGAGATGTCGGCAGCAGCAGTATCGGCACATCTAGCTCCACGTTAGCAAGAGATATTTTGACTTGATTTGTGTAAATTACTTTAGCACCAGCCCCAATCCACCCTGGGGTCCTGCCCACACAGCCTACGCCTTTGACCATAAAGATCCATTTTAATTTCTAGCTGACGTCCCTCCTCATTGTCACCCACCCGATAGAAGCTTTCGCACCTTCACAGCGCCAGCATCCCTGACTTCTCCATATTTCCACCCCTTCGCTCTGTATTGCCTGCTTCAGGTTTCAAACACAACTCGTTCTCCCTGCTCAGCATCCCCGCAGCCACGGTCCCTGGCCAGAAAACCGCTCCTCTCGCAGGGAAATAAGCAGCAGCAGATCCCCACCATCGATGCAGCCAGCTGGGAAGAAGACAGAAGCGTACCCAGAAATGTGCCCTCTCCCTTTTTCCTCTTCGGAATCTCTCTTGCAAAGAGGAAACTCTTGCTGAATCCACTGGGTTTAGCCGGCCCCGCTTCTCTTGCCTCTGCAGAGTGGCGAGGCAGGGCAGGAGGAGGATTTATAGGGTTCTTTCCCCGGTCACTGCTCTCACAGGGCAGCGGAAAGGACATTGTGCAACCACCCCCCCACGGTATGATTTTCCGCACCGCCCTGGCTTCCCCTGTTCCCTGAAAGCAGCTCAGAGTGATGGGGAAAGCAACCTCTGTCCCCCCGTGGCGGGTTTTGCCTGGTGGAAGAAGGAATTACCGGCATCCCAACCCCTTTCTGCCCTGCCACCAGCCATGGAAAGGCTTGCCCAGGGCACGCTATCGCCGTTAGCATCAGCTCCAGGCAGCAGGACCCTCCAAAAGCACACCCATCCCACAGCGAGCGATTGCTGGTCCTTCAAGATCTTCCCCATCCTGCAGCCTCGGGGGCATCTCACCCCCTCCAGCATCAACAGATGGGCACCGGTGCTGAAAATAAATAAATAAATAGAGCTCTGCCGGGAGCACAGGAAGATTTCGCAGGTGGTTTTGTCAACGGGTCGATCGACGGCTGATTTCTGAGAAGCGCGGCGGTGGCACGTGACACCGGTGCCCAACTTTGGAGAATTGAGCGACAGCTTCAGCCACCTTCCTGTTCCCCAGAGCCCAGGCTCACCCACTTTTCACTGTCGTTTTCCTGCTTCAGACCTCAACATAATGTCTCCCTCATCGCGGCACGGCTGTCGTCAGCACGGGGAAGTGAGAAAAGCAACCACAAGGTACCCTGGGGAAGCGACGCACCGGACGTGGGAGCAGCCCCAAGGGTTACGCGTTAGCCAGATCCTTTTTAAAAGGCTTTATTTTTATTTTTTTTTCCAAAATATACAGTATATTTACAATTGTAGTGTCTACAGTTTCACATATAATTTTATTCCAAACCTTTAAATATCTGCGGTAAACATTAGGAAAAAAAATAAAATAAAAAAAAAGATAATCACAGGATCAGCAAAAAAAAGGCACCTCGGAGCAATTGTGTTCATTGGAGTCTGAGTTTCAAGTAGCCAATGCCTAGAAAAACAACTTGATAAATCTGGCAGAGAGATACAGATGGTTAGAAAAAGGCAAAAATCTGGACCTGTGGGATCCCCCCTCCCCGCCAAGGTCCGCAGGTGAAGGAAACCTTGTGCTGGGCTGGGGCCGGGAGATGGACCCGGGCTAGAGGAGCCCCTTTGGCATGAGTTAGGGGACGGGGTTAACGGGGAGGGGGCACCCCAGGAGGTTCCAGCAAGGTGCCAGAGCAGATTTAAGCTGGTGACATCGGGCACTTCATCTCTCGGGCAGCAGACCTGCCCGCACATCTGTAGCCTGAAGCGAGAGGACGGTGAGGAAGGGGCAGGATTCCCCCCGAGGAGCAACCTCCTCTTCCTCCCCTTTCCCCGCATCCTCGCCCCACTCGGCAGCACCGTGGGGATGCTCCGGTGAGGGGCCACCACTGTGGTGGCCCAGCCCCTGGGGAAGGGGACTGGGGAGCAGCGCGTCTCGCCGAGAGCTGGGAAGGGATGCCAGCCCCAGCCCGGGAGGGACGGAGCCGGCAGCCGGGCACCAGGGCCATCAGTCCTCTTTCTCAAAGGTCTCCTCCTCGGGGATGAGCGTCCGGAAGGGGTGATCCCAGAAGCGGGTGCTGATGCCAAAGCCTGCGGGCAGGGGAGAGAGCGCTTAGCCTGCGGCATCGCCAACACCGAAACGCCGCCAGTCACCGGGCGCAGCCTGCTCG